TCAAATCCCAGCCTTCTCAGCCTTAACTGCTACACAGAAGCACTGCCTAAGTTTACTGTGCGAGCTGGCCAGCCTTTAATTCTTAACTTGGAGTAAGGAAATTCAGTAAATCAATGTACTGAATAAATTCAGTAGACTAGTCTAGAAAGCTACTTACTTTACTAGGAGGACAGTGAACTTACAAAGTCATTGATTCACTGAATTCACTAAGCTCCTGCAGGTCAGAGATTGTGACTTATTCACTGGTCCACACTTGTACCCATATTAACCACACTGCACCAGCTGGCTACATTTAAGTGAGTACTTGGGTGGAGGATGCAGCCCTCAATCTTCAGTTCCAACCTGCAGACTTCCAAATGCTATAGATTTCTAGTGCCTATAATAAAAGTCAATATCAGATGCAAAATAAGTGTCTTCTCATAAAAGAAACTCTCACACATGATTTCCTAACAATGAAGACACTTTATCTCATGTCCCGTCACAAATGTTAGATTACCCAGGAAGAATAGTCTCTTTCGCCTTAGTACATGGAGACAGGTTTTGGTGCAATCAGGGACGGGAAAGGTTTTTTTTTTTTAACATCTTGTTAATTCCATTCTGAAACCTGCTAAAACTGACTCTTCTTATTGTGAGAATCCTCTAAAGGGGAAGTTACCCATAGAGGGATTGGGGGAGGGTGTGTAAACATGGCACAATAAGTACCCAACAATGCCCACTTAGCTCCTTTTTGTACCCACTGCATATTTTTACAATGCATTTTTCAGGATTATTAAAACTCCTCCATGTTATAAAATTATGTATGAATGCTACAATACTAGCAACTGAATTTCAAACTCCCAGGTACTGCAACAACTTGTACCTATTATTACATGGTACAGTGTCCTGATAAGTAAGTCTTGATACAAATTATTTATTTCTTTAATAGTTTGCTACTATTATTTTATTAAAATAACCATAAATTTTTAAAAGGCAATATTAGAAATCAGTTCAAGATACAATAACTTACTTTTCTAATCTATAACGCTTAGTGCTTAAGATCACTGAGGGGGTCACATAACTAAGCAGGAAGTATACACACCAAAAAATATGACTCTGGAGACACACATATCACTTTGTTTAAAAGTGCCAGTCACAGGCATTCTTGAGTAGGAACAAATGCCTGTTTAATTCACAAGTTTAAATACTGAGGTTAGGCTAGGGATCAGTTATTAAATGTATTATTCACTCTTCAACCCATTTAACACATCATCAGGTTTACCTATTAATATCTGTAGAAAGAGAATTATTTTATTTGAGCAATATCCAGGACACCTGTATTCATAGTATAAACTCGGATCTACTGCACTGTAATAAAATGTAACCAATCAAAACTTTTAAAAGTGTTAATGTCTATGAGAAGATTGTGGCAATTCTCTATCCAAGTCCCTCTATGTCCCAATTCCTTGCAGAGCTATGATGCAACTCCTCCCTGCACTTGATGAGTTCATGATTAGTATATGCCTACATGTTCCAAGAGTATAGAATTTTACTTCCCCTGCAGCCTTTATAGAAGCATCATTTCTCATATCCTAAAGAAAGCATTTCCCCAGGAGCAGAGTCAAACAGTAAAGCAAAATTGAACAAATAACTCATATGTCTCCTCTCCCTAGGAAAGTTGTACACTGTGCAGCTGCAGGGGCACATTCCTTTCTTACTGCAGGGACAGAAGAGTTATTTTTCCACAGTCTCCTAAATTCCTATTCCGATACACTATTCCTAAAGTTAATATATCCCATTCCCATGTGTTTTTATACTTACTTTTATGTTTTTCACTAAATACAGATGTATCAATAAACAACGCATGCTATTCTATTGTTGTTAAAGTGTGCATAAGTGCATCTTACTGTATAAACCTTTGGTAGTTTGCTTTCTTCATTCCATATTACGTATTTGATCTATATATATGTTGACAAGTATAGCTCCAGCCCATTCACTTTTACGAGTGGACAATATTCTATTGCAAGAATAAACCAGTTTATTCATTGCCCTGCTAATCCTTACAGTTATTCTACTTTACTGCTATCTTAAAGAGCTGCTATAACCATCCTTGTCCCATGTTTGTTTGGGCAACTGCCCCAGGTTTACTTAAGAACTTGGCTCAGAAAAATTTAGGCTGTGGAAGAAAAAAATCCCTGGAGTGGATGTTAGCCCAGTCAGAGGCCATTATGGAGTCTAAACCACTCCCCTCCTAACTGCGGGGAGGGGAGGTAGGGAGGAGGGTCATGTGAACTGAAGTACTATGTGATGGCACAAAAGAAAAAGACTTAAATGATGTGATAATAAAGGGAAGCATGAGATGATCAATTTGTGGGATTAACGAGACTAAAGCTGATCTTCTCTCTGGACATTAATCACTGGCAGCCAAATGAACCTCTACCAAAAGACCTCAGTCTTTTTCTCATAGGAGTTGAGAAAACTACATGCTCTTCAAATTTAAAAAAGTATACAACAGCCCCCATATGTGCTCATTACCTTGCCAATTTAAATATTTTTGTTCTACCCATGTAGATCAATCAGGTCTTCTACCTGAAGGTGAACATCAAGACATAAGCTAAAACCAGTGCCAACACACACACACACACACACACACACACACACACACACACACACACAGAGGAAGAGGAGGTAAGGTTAGGAAATGCGAGCAACACTAAAAAGAACCAACCGTAGTTTGTTGCTATCGTATGCATATTTGTGGTTACCAAGCATTTTCCTAAAAACTGACACCTTACAAAACCGACTACTTATTACTGATAACAGAATTATTAGGTCATCCATAGAGAAGAGTTAAAAGAAAAAATCAGTTAAAAACAACTCCACAGGAAAATTGACATGCCTAATACAGTTAAAATACATGATAGATTTAATTCTGCAAAGTGTTATAAAAAAGGCTAAGTGATTCCCAAGTCACAAAACCCTCACCGCATTCCTAAATGGCTGAGAAACGGGTACAACCTCACACTACGCCAAAGCAGCCTTCTTTTACACAACCTCAAAACTCATCACTCTACCTTTCTCCTTGGTTTTTGACTAACACCTTACCTAGTCTCACATTAATACAGAATTGTGCAAGCTTTTTTTACAACTCAGTCACATTCTTTGGAAACACTGTTAGAATGGACCCAACAGTTACTGCCTTAACCCCCATGATTTTCATGAAAAGGTAGGAGATTAACAGTCCTCTTTCCACCTCATCATACAAAAACTAAAATCAGGTCTCAACCAAGTTCTTAGCATGCTCTTTTTGCTTCTTTAACAGATAAAATGCCCAAAGTGAGTGTTTCAAATGACAACCCAAATTTCGAAAAACTGAAATCTGGAGAAAAGGGATTCCAGTTCACAGTGCGTAAATCAATTTAAAAAAATAAGTGCCTTGCATAATGCCACTCAATTTTTTCCCCCCAAAATTACCTGGTTGGTACTTTCTTTTCTGAATCATCATATTTTCATAACACTGTGAAACAGTTTTGAACTTTTCTTGCTGTAACTATGAGCCTTAAATCTACCAATGCCAGTCACAGTTTAGGAACTAATTAACTCAAACTATGTATGGATTCTATCAGCATCTTTTTCTTGTTAAAATGCTCTTATGGAACACCAAAGTTACTACAGATTAACTAGAAATCATATTTTTTAGTTGTTTTCTTAAAATATTCAGTTCCCTTCCCCATCACTAAGTGGGAAATATAGTCCACTGGAGTCATGATGCAGTGGTAGAAATTAATAATTATAAAAATGGCTAATATGTACTGAATATTTACCATAGGCCAGGCATCATAATAAACATAAACCATTACATGTAAAAGTACTCCTATCAGGAAAGCATTTTTATCCCTAATTTAGAGACAAAGGAACTGAAGCAGAGAGATTAAATAACTTGCCCAAAGTCAAAGACGTTAAGTGGATGTGACTCCGGTATGCCCAGCTCCAAAGCTTAGAATCTTAAGATGATAACGTTGTTAGGGTTAAAATACTGCAATTTACTGCAAAAGCAAATTTTTCATGGCTTTAAATTCTGTAAGTATTCATTAACTTAAAGGTCAAGTGGTCACTCCAAATTGTGTGTGTGTGTGTGTGTGTGTGTGTGTATGATAAGCGGGAAAAAAATGTGTGACCAATAGGTTTGCTGAATTCTTGTACCTGCTTAGGATAAACACACATCACTCAATTTTATTCCTAATGAGGGGAACAGAGTAAGGATCTTCACTTGAGTACAGCAGTTATTTCCTTCTCCATCCTAAACCAGAAAGAAAACAACGTGCCTGCAAAGGCCACTTCAGCCAGTGTGTCCTTCCCTCCTCATCAAAGCCCAAGCCTTCCGCCCGCCCACGCGACTCGCCGCACAGTGACCCCATCACCCGGGGACCAACACCGGCGTCGGGGCCACTCCTCACGATCGCCCCTGTTATTTTCCCGGCTTCGCTTCCCACAAGAACTTATGTTCTCTGATGAATCAGCGCGCACGCTAAAGGACCTTAGCTAAACTACTCATCCTTAATATCCAACTCATTTTCTTTCTCCGAACCGCCTTTTCAAGCAAGCAAGACCCCCGGTCCACTCTCCACCGCGATGTGCACCCCACGCAAGCCGGGCCGTGGCGGGGACCCGGGTCTGCTGCCCGGTGTGGACATTCAGCACATCCAAGAATCGACGCGTGGAGGGCAGCGTGGGTGGAGGCGGGAAGAGGAGCACGGAGGAATCTCAGCGGCTGGCACCACTGCTGGGGCGCCCCGTGTGGGAGGGACGGACCAGGGGCGGGTGGGAGGACCCGGGGCCAGGCAGGCGCCGCCGGCGGGACGAGACTGGGAGGTCGCGGGCGCCGACCCCCCGGGCCCCCGCAACACCCCGGGCCTCAACCTGAGCCTTCGCCTCGCTCCCGGACCCTGGCCACTGCACCCAGGCGGTCGCGGCCGACCAGCCTCCCCCGAAGCCAAGGGCCGATCCGACCCGCGCTCGCTCACCTGAAGCTCCTCCCGCAGCACCGCGCACTGCATCTGGCGCCAGCCGGGCAACCCGGCGGGTCCGCCCGATCAGCTGATTCACGGGGGGCGGGGCCTCCGGGCAGGGGCGGAGCTGCGGGGCCGTGGGCGAGTGTAAAGGCGGGCGGGGTCTGCTTTTGGAGTAGGTGGGGTTAGACGGGGAGACGAATGACGGTGTCTGGTAAAGATCAAAATTACTGAGGAGGCGTTAGGCACTTGTAAGCACCGTTCTCAGGAGTACTGCCCCTCCCTCGGCGAGGGCGGAGCCAGCCGTCCTGGGACGCGCTTTAGTGATGACGTCAATAGAGTCGTCCGGACCCAGCTACCCGAGCGCTTCCATGGTAACCAGCGGCGGTGAGCCTGGTTGGGACTTGCAGTCGTTTGGTTACCATCTCAAACTGCACGGGCCGGAATTATAAAAGTGAAAAGCCTAAAGTGTCTTACAGATGCTTTTGTGAACTGTACCTTGACGATAGTCCCTTCCCGCCGCTGGGAATGACGTCATCGCCACGCTGCGCCGACTTGCCCTGGTGTCCACACTGTGTTTTTACTACTTAGTGGCAACCCCAAAGGATGGAGTGGGGATAGGAGGAAATGAATTGGTCTCCCTCCTGACTCCCGCAGGGCTCCCCAGTATGCAATCTGAATAAAGTCCGTTTTCTTGCCCCCCACAGAGTTTCACGACAGTCTGTGTGTCGCTGCCACAACCCCACCCCCAGCAGCCTGCCACCCCAAACCCCCCCAGCCCAACCTGTACCCCAAGTCCTCCCAGGAAGGTTTCCCGGAGACGCCGCTCTCGGCACACAATGGGTGCGAATTCTGATCGCAGAATCTACGGCCCTATGTTTAGACCACCAGTGACAGATATGGAGGCAGGTTCTGAAGCTCCTGTGTTTGAATGATCTATCACACTGACCAACACCCTCGACTCGCTTGCCTCCCGATCCTTTGCTCACCTGCAAAACTGTTATTCTGCATCGGTTCAACCAAACTTGTTCACTCCAGTGCAGAAGATGACACAACCCTGAGAATTGGCACCACCGCAAACCAGTTGTCCAATTTCAGTGATGGATTCCACGCAGTCAGATATTGCTGAGCCCAAGACGATCACGTTCACATCATGCTACCCAGAAAATCTGTAACCCTCCCTGCTATTCCCAACTTTCACATTCTCCTAACCTCTTTCCGAACTCTCCTAACCTCTACTGAACTCTTACCCCTTCTGGTAAATTTTTTTTAAAAATTAAAACATCTTGTCTCCTACATTTCTGAGAAAAGTGAGAGTGCTAAAGGTAATTTCCTTAAATCCCACCAACAGCTATGACAAAACCTACCTGCAACCCCGGCCTTCCTTCTTTTTCTTCTCTCTCTGTCTCCTTAGAAGAGGTATTCTGTCCTCTAAGTCATCCCTCCACTGGAACTCAGGATTCCTCCAATCACCCCAAAGGAGAAACTTTGCTCCATTATGTACTCCTTCTCTTCCATGTATTTTCAACCTCCACCTCTCTTCTTACTCACATACTTATGCCTGCTACTATCTATCTCATCTTTATCTTTTTCCTCTGTGTCTCTTCTTATGCAAACCTAATTTTCTATGTCTACTTTCTGACCTCCCAGTCTTCCTCACCCAAATCTGTAATCTCTGCTTTTTTCAAGTTTACTGAAATCACTAGTTACCTTCTAATTTTGGAATCCAATGATATAGTCAGAGAATGGAACCATTCTATGTAGCCACTTAAAAAAAAGATGATGATCTCTGTGTACTGATATGAGATCATCTGGAAGTGAGATGCTAAGAGAAAAAAATCCATATGCTGTGTCATATGCACAGTATTCCATCAGGTGTGTGTTATATAGGTGTTCTCTCAGGAGAGAGTAAGGCAGGTTGGCAAATAGGTAGACATGACATACATGTACAATTATTAGCTGTAAAAAGACATACTAAAGAGAGGCTGCCCTAGGGAGGGGAATTGGGAATGAGAGAGAGAAGAAAGGTTACTTTTCACTCTATGCCTTTTTATACTGCTTAAAAGTTCAATCGTGTGCTTTTTTACTTATCTTTACAACTTTTAGACATGAAAGTAAGGGTATAGCTCTCAGTCATATCTTTTTTCACTTCCTTCCCCCCTTGGTACATTCCTTCCAGGTTCTCCTCTTCCTCCTTTAAGCTTTCCTTTACCTTCATAGATTCTTTCACCTGCCCCTTAAATTCACAGACAAAACAGACATTTATTGCATACTTCTTATGTAACAGACACTGTTCTAGGTACTGGAGAGATGTAGTAATGAAAGAAATAGTCAAGAGTTCCTGTTCTCCTGGAAGACAGTCTCCAGAGATGGCAGCCATCACTTCCTCCCTCTGTGCATACAAGTGCCACTCCTGACATCAAGAGATGGAATCTATTTCTTCTCCCCCACCCAATACAGGATAGCCTTGTGATTTTTTTTTAACCCATTGAATGTGACAGAAATGAAGTCATGGAACTTCTGAATTAGGGCCTTCCGTGTTCCTCTCTAAGAACCCAGCTGCTGTGCTCTATTACAGATTGACAAGATATGATGTGAAGAGAGAGGTCACATGGATGAGCATGAGGTGCCAGACATGTGAGTAAAGCCCTCTGGGACCTTCCAGGCCAGCCCAGTCACTAGCTGAATGCAGCTGAATGAGTGGCATCAGCCAATGCCAAGTGGAGCAGAAGAACAGCCTTGCCTGAATTCCTGACCCAAATTCCTGAGAAATAAGTTGCTGCTTCAAGCCACCAAGTTCTAGGATGGTTGTTTATGCAGCAATAATGGAAACAAGTGGGAAGAATGGGAGATAATAAACTCCTAGAGAATACAGTAGTGACTAGGGCTAGGAAGAGGCGGAATAGTGCAGCAGTTAAAAGCACATGTTGGAGCCAGACAGCCTACGTCTGCTTCACCTCGGCATTTGCTAGCTGTGTGACCTTGGCATGAGTTTTTATTTTTTATTTTTTGAATCAGAGTCTCACTCTGTTGCCCAGGCTGGAGTATAGTAGCACAATCACGGCTCACCACAGCCTCCAACCCCTGGGCTCAGATGATCCTCCCACCTCAGCCTCACAAGTAGCTGGGACTACAGGTGTGTGCCACCACACCTGAGCAATTTTTTTGTAATTTTTGTGAAGATGAGGTCCTGCTATATCACCCAGGCTGGGCCTGAACTCCTGGAATCAAGAAATCCTCCCATCTTGGTCTTCCAAAGTGCTGAGATTACAGGTATGAGCCACCACGCCTGGCTGGCATGGGTTATTCAACCTCTGTGTGCCTTGGATTCATCATCCAGAAGACACCAATAGAAACATGACCTACTTTGTGAGGACTAAATGACCTAATATATGTAAAGTGCTTAGAGCAGTACCTGGTACATAGTTCATGCTGTGTGTGTTGTTATGAATTATTGAAAATAATAAAGAAGGCTACAGGAGTGGAAGGGAAAGGGTGTAATTGTATATAACATGGCCAAGGAAGGTCTGTCTTCTAAGAAAACATCTGAACAGAGGTGAGGAGGTGAGGAAAGGAGCACATAGACACCTGGCACTCCAGGCAAAGGGAGTAAGTGACTGGGAAGGTGAAGGTGGGAGGGCAGTGCTGCTGGGGCTGAATGTGAAAAGGTTGAGAGAGGCTGAATGAGGCTAGAGGTGAATGAGAAAAGGGTAGAAAGAGAAGAGCCAGTAGATAATGGTCTGGTATCAGGCCAGATCAGGACTAGGGTTTATCTGAGTGATCCAGGCAACCCTTGGAGGGCTTTGAGTAATCTGATCTTTGGTAATCTGGTTTCCCTTTTTAAAGGGCTGGTTCTTCTGCTGTGTGGTGAGTGAGGACAGAGGGTAGGAGTAGAAGATGGATGCTGAGAGATCAGTAAGATCAACAAGAGGCTGTTGCAACAGTTGGGGCAAACAGTCCTGATGGTTTAGCCCCAAGTGGCAATGGAGGAGAAGATGGGAAGGAGTTAAATTCTGGGTGTATTTTGAAGGTAGAGCCTGTAGTACTTGCTCACTGAGTAGATGTGAGCTTTGGGAGAAGGGTAGAAATGAAGACCTGAGCTACTGTCATTTACTGAGATGGGAAAGACTGGAAATAGAGAGTGAGGACATGGGAAGGAGGTATCAGGTTTTCATAATTGTACATATTATATATACTATATGGCTGTGCTGGGGAGAATGATCTGGGCTGGAAAAGTAACCATGGACATTTGTTGATAGAAAAGAGTAGTGGCCGGAGGACTGAGCCCTGGGACACTCCCCTGTTTAGTGATTGAGAAGACAGGAGGTGGATCTAGCCTAGGATCCTGCTAAGTTCTCTGAGGAGGGAAATAATTGGTGTTTGAGAAACAGAAAGAGAAGGTAAAAATAGTGGAGAGTGGGTGAGAAGAAAGAGGGATAGAAACTATGTTTATAATGATCACGGAGGGGCCTTGGCCTGGTGGCTCAGCCTGTAATTCCAGCACTTTGGGAAGCCAAGGCGAGTGGATTGCCTGAGTCTACAGATACAAGACCAGCCCAGACAACTTGGTGAGACCTCGTCTCTACAATAACTAAAAAAGTTAGCCAGGCATGGTAGCACACACCTGTAGTTCCGGCTACTTGGAAGACTGAGGTGGAAGGATCACCAGAGCCCAGCAGGTTGATGCTGGAATGGCTGTGAACATGCCACTCCATCCAGCCTAGGCGATGGAGTGAAATTCCAACTCAAAAAAAAAAAAAAAAAAAAGATCACAGAGAGGTTGGCAGGCTAGGGTATGAGTTTGTATTTTATTTCAAATGTATCAGAATGTTTTAAGTGGAACAAGACCTGATCTGATTCATATTTTTGAAAGTTTATTCTGGCTTGTGTTTTATATGTACTTCCCATTTTGTTACACAAAATATTGAAAATATGTTGACTCAAGATTTAGGATTTAATAAAATTCATACACACACACACACACACACACACACACACACACACACACTCTGCTGCACATTGGGTCATACCTGAGGCTGAAGAGAAAGAATTGCTTGAGCCCAGGATTTCAAGACCAGCCTGGGCAACTTAGTGAAACCTCATCTCTACAATAAATCAGAAAATTAGCTGGGTGTGGTGGTGCATGCCTGTAATCCCAACTACTTGGAAGAGTGAGC